AATGTTTGAAGTGCTATTCGACATCTGAGGGGTCCTAAAAGGAAGACTATAACAAAAAGCAAGATCTGGGCAAAGACACGTTAAAGTTGGCAACACATTTTTCAAAAAAGATAAGCCTGAAAAATAGCCTTTAGCATTTAAGGATATAAATCAAGATTTTTATAAAATCCTACATAATTTGCTTCCTCACTAAGCATTGCCAGATTTGCTCGTGTAACATAAGCGATTTTTTAATTGATGTAGGATTATCCGTAAATGGGTTCAGGAGGCCATTTTGTGTGTTCTATGCGAATAAAAAAATTGTTCTTTTATCTAAACTCCAAGAAAACGATTAAATAAATAACATGATGTAAACGCTGGTTTCGAGGCAATAGATTCGGCACTTCTTCCACGCTTCATCTTCATGTAACATGGTCTTGGTTTGTTATCTGAGACATTATATCTTGTTTTTCATCAAATTGCTGAACGCAAAATCAAGAGCTTGATTTGATTTTTTTATCTGATTTAAGAAAGGTACTAAACGAGTTTCCACTTAACTGGTCCATCTTTTAGAATTGTTATGCCTTGACTGATTAATCTAAATAAATAATAGTGCAAGTATTTCCCTTTATTTTTTTCTTACCCTCTCTATTTCATGCCACATTTTCAGCGTTTTTCTTGTTATTCGGGATGTGTGTGATTTTCTCGTGCTTACGGCAACGACCGAAGATCTTTCGCAAACAAAGAGCTGTTGTACACAAAAGACCACTACCTCCACCACCAGCTTCAAAGTTCAAAAGTTTGTTTTTCTCAGATGAAAAGGTAGAACTAAAGCATGATTTTCATCGAAAGATTTTTTAGCTGTTGTTTCTCGTGCTATAAAAACCGGGAAAATAGATGAGCTAAAAACGGTTGTCGAAGATGTTGAAGATCCACCTGAAAAGAAGGCTGTGGAAGCGAGGCAAGATGGAAATGTGGTAAGTCTGTTAATATAATTGGCGAAAGTCGAATAGTTTTGTGGTGCAGCTGCTTGGCACACATCAGACCTAGAAATAGAGCGCATTTTGGGTCTTTGGGCTGGCAGCCTGTCATCAATGCTCTTGCAAATTATTGCGTTTTCACCTTATCTCACAAACAGATTCTTTCAAAAAGTACACTTTTGATAGAGGATACGTCAAGTTTCTTTTATTGGAAGTTAATTAGTGAGTAATCAGCAAAAACGACTCGGTTTCAAACCCAAGGGATCTTCCGCCTGTTAGGAAATATACGTTGGTTCCACATCTAGCTTAGTCGACAACGCTCACGCAATTTTTAACAAAAGTTTAAAAGTTTTAATAGACAGCACTAGCTAATCATCATAAGTATTTTTGTGGACATAAGAAAGTATAAGGAAAAACAATGTCTGCGCACATATTCTCCCACTCATAGCACCTTTTTTTACACTTTAAAGCATATTCTTCCTGAAAGTTGGCTCTAGTGGTGTAATATTTCTATGCAATTGAAGCTTTACTTCAACTATGTCCCAGTGTTATTCAGATTAGGTTTAAGCCGTACTATAAGCTCCAATTGAATGATAGCCAGTTATTCATGCTGATCCTTCAGAAGGCTTCTCTACTACAATCTTGCTTT